GCTTGTTCCAGGGGAACCCACTACCCCTATTACAGGTCTGCTGCTATGATGAAACCTTCAGCAGAATTAACGTAACAATTCCAACACTTTTTACTTGTATGCTGTGGCAACTCACTGGATCATTACTGTCGTCTGCTGTGCAAGAATTAAATTACAAGCAGGAACTGTAATGCTCAAGTATTTGCTGAAGAAAATATGGTAGTCGCCCATGCAATGGTTGCTATGATGTTCTGAGTGATTGCTCTGCAGTTGCCAGGTTGTTCTTGGAAAGTGTTTTTGTAGAATTAGCTTACTAGCCCAAAAATAACCCAACTCCCAGGTATTTTGGTCTCATGCAACATTCAGAATTAAAGAATGGGCTCCCATTTATGACAGGAATAGAAATTTACTGAACTAAATTTCAAGGAAAGGCAACACTGATAATGCATCCTGGGAAATGAAGGTCTAAAAAAATGCATTACATTTTATGAAGTACACAAGTAAACTCCAATTTTGTAAACATTACGGATTCAGTTTTAAAGTGGCTGAAGTCCCTTACTAGTTTTCTCACCTGCCAGGTAAAAATCATAAGTCTGACTGCTTAGAAAGGCAACAGCATTTGCATTTAAGTTTAAAATCTAAGGTTAGGCCGTTTAGGCCAAACATAAATGAATCAAAATCACAAACCTAGATCGTTAGGATCTTCCTCCTCTACTCCAATGCCTTCTGCAAGCTCCTTATGCTTCTTATAGTCCATGAGAAACTGCCTCAAGTTCACACACTCTTTATTCTGGGTCTCTTTGCTGGGTGTCTTCTGGTGTCCCAGAGAAGAGGTGAACCATCTCACTGTGGTAAAACATGTTTGGCTTTTCAAACTCTAAAAACATATTTAGCCACTAATACTTAAGAGTAACATTGTTTGAAATAATAGTTAAGTAAACTAAGGAAAAGTAAGACATACCAAGTGCTTTCATGAGTGAGTGCAGCACACTACAGAACTGTGGCGCTCTCTGGTCATAGCTGAGATCAAGTGCCGTTAACACGTCCTGCACCACATCGGCCACTAGAGGCAGCAGACTGGCATCTGAGTGAGTGAACATGACTGCAAGAACTCGCGGAGCATGAGGGTGAATGCTAGGTCTGGCCAGGTTTAGAGAAACATCATTGAGAAGGTAGTCTGAGTTCTCGATGACCAGCTCCTTGGGTGAACTGTAATCGCAAGCCTTGCAGAGGTCACACATGGCGCTAAAAGCCGCTTGGCTGACAAGAAGCAACTCGTCTCCGGCCTTCTCCAGCACAGGGTATAGCGTTGTCATTAGAAGCAAACGGAAATCGGTGCCTAATGCCAGGGCGAAGCCTCCGATGCCATCCAACTGGATACAGATTTGCCAGATGTTGCTGTTGAGTTGTTGGAGCGTTGCCGTTTTGGATGCTGGAAGCAGCTGCAGACAGTTTCGTTCTGGATTATTGGACACCAAGGAGTTTGTAGACTCAAGTTTCCCTTCCAAGGCTTCTGAGATTGTAGGGAGATGCCAGTTACTCAAACTGATGTACTCCTCGATGATGGACATGATTGACGATTTCAAGTCTTCTTGACTTGTTCTAGACTGGTTTGCTCCTGAACAATCAATCCTAGAACTGTCCGTCTCTACGCCAATGCCTGCAGCACCAACAATGACCTCGTTGAGGACCAAAGCAGCTTGCTTTCTGTAAACCGAAGACTCCTTGTACAGCTCCATGAAGCGGTCTACAAGAAGGTAGAGGTTTCCGTAGCATCCCAACATGCGGCAGATCTTCCTGAGAGCTGAGAATATTTTGTCATCTGTGAAGTAGAGGAAGTATTTCCTCTGGGATGGGATTTGGTGCATGTCAGGTCCCAGGTTTGTTGAAGACGTTAGAGTCTTCTCCTCAATGATCTTCACATCCGTTACGTCCAGCTCCATCACCTGCATCAATGCTCTGGAGATGCGCTCAAGATGTACTGCTGAAGTTAGTACCACATCCACTTTGGGCCCCAGAATCTTGAGGTACCCAAGGAACACGTTAAGAACAAAGAGCTTGTGTTGGTCGTCAGACGTTCTCATGAGTCTAGGTAAGGATGACGCCAAGCTATGGAGGTTTTCGGATAGAATGTCAGTAAAGTCCTGCCCACCATTGGTTTGACCTTTTTGTGCCACCTCATCCAGTGCTGCATTGCACCTGTGCTTAACCTCAGGTTCCTCATCGTTGACAGCACCTATCAATGCTTCCAGAAGAGGACCGACACATTCACCCACAGACTGGCTACACTGAGAAAGGAGGAAATGGGATAAATTGACCAACTCAAGCCTGACTCTCCAGTGCGGGTGGGAAGAAGTGCAAGAAATGATCTTCTGTAAGACCATGGCAAGGCGCTGGGATGTGGCTTTGCGCCAGGATGGAGTCCTCTTTACAACAAGCTCCTCAACCCTTCCCAGATCACCAGCTGCTACATCATTGTCTGTTTGCTGAAGCTGCTCATCAGCCATTACCAGACCAACTACCTTGTACCAAACCCTCATGGCCTTCACTGTAACCGCATGGCCTTGTCTTATGTCTCCACTGATCACGAGACTCAGCGAGCGGGAAATGCCAGGTAAAAACATGGCCAAGGTACGTCCGAGCAGATACCTCTCATCCGGTCTTGGCTCAATGTGTTCCTCTTCGCAGTTGCACTGCTGAAACAAAGAAAGGAGACATTTCAGGGAAGCCGTTTGAACACCTCTGGCTTTTTCATGCTCTGTGAGAGCCAGAAGCAGCGACACAGCGGCTCCAAGTCCGGGCAACATGCTTGGCTCATAGAGTTTAAAAGCAATGTCACCATAGGCAGAGTGCAAGAGGGCATCCAGGCATCTGAGCACGGCCAGCTTTAGTTCCTCAGAGGTCGTGGCTGGTTTTCCAGGGTCTTTTGGGGAACAAAGACAAAGGCACAGCTCGGAGAAAAGATCCCGCAGAGAATCCCAACTCTGAACGCAAGTGTTCTTCAGTACATACGTCATGACTTCCAAGACTGCCTGGACAAGTCCCTCCCGCTTGGAGCCAGGGGATTTGAGGACAAATCTTAGGGGAAACAGAACATAGTCCTGTAGCTGTTGAAGAGCTCCATCGCTCACACTGCGGAGATGACCGCTAAGAGCTTCTACGTTAGCAGCAGTAGGTTCTTTGGTCAGGAGGACACAGGATGGGCGGAGATATGCAAATGCAATCTTTGGGTCTTCGATCTGATGTTCAGCCATTATCCATGTATGGAGCTATGAGATCTGTGAAGGAAGATTGTTTCATTATTGTTCAGTGGGGATTTAACAATTTAACTTTCTGAAATAAGATTTTCAGTAGGGCTGCACGATAAATCACATGCGATATTTAATGCGCATCTTGTCAGTAAAGCCAGCAGTAAATCTCCATCATGTGTGTGTTTTCACATGGAGCAGCATTTACTACACAGAGCCGTTGTTCACTGACAAGCTGCGCAAAACAGCTCGTCAGTGAACAACGGCTCTGTGTAGTAAATGCTGCTCCATGTGAAAACACACACGTGATGGAGATTTACCACTGATTACAGAACCGGCTTTACTGACAAGATGCACATTAAATATCGCATGTGATTTATCGTGCAGCCCTAATTTTCTGAAGAAAAAAAAAAGCTAACAATATTAACTGATTTTACAAAACTTTTGGCAATTAATCAAAGCATTAAGCAGCATCAGTTAGTATTCAATATCTGATTTTGATTATATAGTCTAGCAAATGCATTTCACAATAGATACAGATCTGCATGTGATTTATCGTGCAGCTCTAATTTTCAGAAAAAAAAGAAAAAAAAAAGCTAACAATATTAACTGATTTTACAAAACTTTTGGCAATTAATCAAAGCATTAAGCAGCATCAGTTAGTATTCAATATCTGATTTAAATTACATTTTGATTATATAGTCTAGCAAATGCATTTCACAATAGATACAGATCCATTTCTAACTTCTTAAATAATATCGCTGATGATTGTTTTGACTAGCATACATATGCTATCTTAAAACAAATGGTAACACTTTACTTGAAGGGGTGTGCATAAGACTGACATGACACCTTCATAATCATGACATGACACATGTCATGAATATGAAGGGTTTTTTATGCATGTTTATGACAACTGTCATTAAGTGTCATTCGCTCAGTTATGTCATTTTTAATGCAAAGATGACATTGTTTGAGATGTCTTTGTTATGGGCTATGGTTAGGGGTAAGGGTAGGTTAGGGTTAGGTCAAATAATGTCATATTTGCACTAAAAATGACATAACTAAGCGAATGACACTTAATGACAGTTGTCATAAACATGCATAAAACCTCCTTCATATTCATGACATGTGTCATGTCATGATTATGTAGGTATCATGTCAGTCTTATGCACACCCCTTCAAGTAAAGTGTTACCAAAACAAATAAACATACAAACAGGCAAAACACATTGACAAGAGTCTGACAATGACCAACTATGAACTGCTTATCACACTAAAACATGACATTTCCTTTGAGGTGCATATTAATCTTGTTACTGTGTATGATTAATAAGATGATGCCCAATCAACAAATTTAAAACCTTAAAATCACACAAACAACTTGTTTTTAGTATACTCTTCTATGGTCAAGTTTAATTTTAATATAGGAAGAGGGAAAGAGCATATTGAATAATGACTTACAGCCCCTCCCCTTAAAATTTCCCGTAATACTTACTCTTGAGTGGTTCAGTCCAGCTAAGTCATGTCAGCCGTTTCAAGCTCATAATCATGACATTAAACCCCTGCTTCATTTCATTAAACACAAAATTACGAAATTCAGTCCAGATGGAGACCCTCTATCCCTGCTACCAAACAAAGGCTGGGTTTCTGAGACAAAAGAACACACACCAGTAGAAGATGACTGCTATTATTGCTCAAAACGACACACATGTTGTAAAGAACACAGAGCTGCAAAAAAACACATCCAGCATGACGGCGCGTCTCTATGACGTCGGCATGACGACACGCACGCGACCCTCGTTTGTTTATCAACCAACTTGCAACAAAATCTCATCGTGTTCAAACATTCGGCAGAAGTGTCGAGGAGTATACTCGCGTATTGTATCTTATTAATTCGACTTATTAATATCTCGACTTAAACCGCGCTTTTGATCCGCGGTAGCTCGTGTTTCAGGGGTTTCCGCGTGCCATATTGAAGTTAAATCCAGAAAAACTGCTGACAGGTGAGAGGCTATTTACCTTGATCGTTTAGTTGTTGCTTGATTTGTTTAATGAGCTTTTACTGTCTTGAACATGTTCACTGCATGTCCCGGAAATCATGCATTACAACTAATCACCTCAACTAATCAATAACTCACACTATGCATGAAGTGCAGAGAGTTTAAGTGCAAACTCATCAGTTATATTTCATTTATTAATCAGGTATATATGCAATCAAACTACCGTTATATATACGTTGTTTATATATATGTGTATTTTGTGTATGTATGTACCTTGTTTTACTATATATTGGTCTTTAAAAGTACAAATATTCCATGTGGTCTCTCTTAATAGAAGTAGGCCTAGTCCTCTGAAAACTATCCTATATGCATAATTCACAAATAAGTTTTAAAATGCATTTAAAAGTAGTTTAATATGGTGTATAGCATGTCACGCCACAATATTTCATATATAATGTGTATGCATGTGGTTAGTTAGTTGATAAAATTTATTATTATATGGCTTTCCTAATCAAGTCCAATCAGTATAATCAAACACAGCTGGACTCAAATGAAGGTGTAGAACCATCTCAAGGATGATCAGAAGAAATGGACAGCACCTGAGTTAAATATATGAGTGTCACAGCAAAGGGTCTGAATACTTTAGGACCATGTGATATTTCAGTTTTTCTTTTTTAATAAATCTGCAAAAATGTCAACAATTCTGTGTTTTTCTGTCAATATGGGGTGCTGTGTGTACATTAATGAGGAAAAAAAATTTACTTAAATGATTTTAGCAAATGGCTGCAATATAACAAAGAGTGAAAAATTTAAGGGGGTCTGAATACTTTCCGTACCCACTGTATATATGACAGTATGAGAGAATGTGTATGTTTTAATTTTAGCACAATTTTTAAACTTTTTTTTTTCAGTAGTCCAGTTTAAATGGTCCTGCAGGGTGGAAAACTAAAATAAACATACAGATATTCCACGTATAAGCTATAATATGATATAAGAAATATAATCAAATGTTATTTGTAAAGTAGCTTCAGACGCAGAATAACATGTTAAACAGTTCAGCAGTGCCCTGTGTGATCTATCTATCGTTCTATCTATCTATCTATCTATCTATCTATCTATCTATCTATCTATCTATCTATCGTTCTATCGTTCTATCTATGCATCGTTCTATCTATCTATCCATCTATCTATCTATCTATCTATCGTTCTATAGTTCTATCTATCGATCTATCGATCTATCGATCTATCGTTCTATCGATCTATCGTTCTATCGTTCTATCTATGCATCGTTCTATCTATCTATCCATCTATCTATCTATCTATCTATCGTTCTATAGTTCTATCTATCATTCTATCGATCTATCTATCTATCTATCTATCTATCTATCTGACAAACTTTTCATTCCTGCTTTGGAAAGGTCTTACATGGCGGTTTATTTTTATCATTAAATAAAAATAAAACCTCGTTCTATCTATGCATCGTTCTATCTATCTATCCATCTATCTATCTATATATCCATCTATCTATCCATCTATCTATCATTTATCTATCCATCGTTCTATACATCGTTCTATCCATCTATCTATCTATCCATCATTCTATCCATCGTTCTATCCATCTATCTATCCATCGTTCTATCCATCGTTCTATCCATCGTTCTATCCATCTATCTATCCATCGTTCTATCCATCGTTCTATCCATCGTTCTATCCATCGTTCTATCCATCGTTCTATCCATCGTTCTATCCATCGTTCTATCCATCGTTCTATCCATCGTTCTATCCATCGTTCTATCCATCGTTCTATCTATCGTTCTATCTATCTATCGTTCTATCTATCTATCGTTCTATCTATCTATCTATCGTTCTAT